GCACAAAACGTCAAATCTTCTCCTAGTGAACTGAAGTGCAAACATGCTCTACCAGCTCAGCCGTGGTGTTTCACACCACCTGCACCTCAGTGGCCCCTTTTTCTGTCTGTATTTGTAGTTTGGGCAGTGGGGTTTGTTTGCTTGCTTTTGTCTCCTCCTCTCCCTTTCTCTTTCATCTTTCAGCAAGAGAAAAAGGGAAAGAAACAGGGTGAGGAGAGTAAGAGTGTATAACAGAAGTTATCTGTTACCAGTCCAACTTGGAACAAAAATTTTCTGTTGCAGATCACTTCAAAACAGATGTTTCTTTCATAATCACGCAATCAGGAGCAAAATGCAGAAAAAGGAAGTGATCACATCCTCCTAAGTGTTATGAGTTTTGTAGCATTCAAAAAGACACATTTTTAATCTTGAAAGAATTGAAAATGTGTCAAGCCTCTCTAGGTATTAATTCACACATCCAGCCTGAACTGGGATTGAAGTGATAAGCAGCTTGATATCAAGTCTGTACTGGTTACTTGGCAATAGTTTAATGATTATCTTGGATGTGATTAATGAAAAATACTATTAAGAATAATCATGCTTCACCACACCCTGAGCTGACTTCCACCCTGTCCTGCGAAGCCGCTCTGTGTGGCAGCCAAGGTCTTATCCGGGCCCTGCAGGCAGCAAGACCCAGGCAGGGCCAACTGAGGACCTCAGGAAGTGCAGCAGCCTCTCCTCTTCCACCAAAAGTTCGATTTTTCCTGTATTTTGTTTCTTTTCCATGCATGACAGTGAGATGCAACCCTCCCACAACCCACCAGGCAATACTCTGTTGCTCAGCAACCCCATACTTGCTGAGAAGGCTCTTTTGCAGTGGTAAACCCGGGCTGAGGAGGAAAATGAGGTGACGTGACACCTGAAACCTGCCTTGCCCTATGAGCAGATACAGGTCGGTAGGAGCAAAGACCCTGGTGGCAATGTCAGCTGAGGAGCAGCAGCACTGCTGACTTCTGCTCCTCCGCATCTGGTCTGTCCTGAAGCATTTACTGGTTATTACCCAAAATTACTTAATCAACTATTTAATTACAAAAGTCTCCTGCTCTGCAAAGCCATTTCCAGTGTCCCAGTTTATCCAGAGCACAAAGCTGGCACCATTTTTTGCCTGGGGTGATCCAGCCAGCAGTGCCAATGAGATGGGGAGAGGGCAGCTGCGAGGGTCTGTTGGAGTGAAGCCCATTCCTGGGGGCAGCCTGGCTTGCCAGGGGGAGGTGGGCAAGGGGCTGGGGTGGAAAGAGGCAGCGGGAAACAGCTGAATTGCATTAGTGGATCCGGCGGAGACTGGGAGGTGGGTTAAGTAAAAGGTGTATTTCATCCCATGAATACTTTGGAAAATCAGCCTGTCCTCCCCTCCCCTCCTCCAGAGCCAGCAGCAGGGGAGGGCAGGTCCTCCCCCGCCTAGACGAGCAGTCGGACACCACAGCCATAACCTTCCAAGCCCACAGCCATTGGGGTCTGCAGGGACTGGATGTTTTTGGGACCTGGAAGCTCCACTGCCCACAGGGTTGCAGCCAGGATTGGGGCTGTGCTGCTGGGTGGGTTTCCCCACCCCTCATGGCATATGGGGAAAGGAGAGATCAGGGCACAGAGGCCAAATAAACCCTTTTACCTCTGTTGACAGAAACCACTCCAAAAGCTTTTCTGTGCTTGGTCTGACTTTGATAGGGCAGTACATGCTTTTTGGTCCATATTAGAAATTTTTAGAAATTATAACTTCTAGAAAACTAACAAGGCTTTTTTGTTAGGGCCACCGTCTCCATGTTCTCATGTGGTTAACGGTGTTGCATAGAAGTGTCTTGTTACAGAATTTGTGAAGGTCCTATCGGGTTCTTAGGGCCAACCCATTGGCAGCTCCAGCACACCCTGCTCCAAGCAGTGCCCTGAAGATCTGATCTGCTACTCCCACTTGGTACAAGCAGAAGATCTACAAGGTGACTGAAGACCTGGCCATTGGCCACCTGACCACAATACCTATGTGTCAGGTTACTAGAAGGAAAGGAAAACAAATACAGGCTTGACATCACTAGCTGAACCACCTCATTAAAAGAGAGGTTGCTTTCAGAAGTGCAGCCCCCCTCACAACATACAGCAATCCGTGGTTTCCCAGCTGCCACTTTAGGCTAGCTCAGAGGTAGGTGTACTCATTTTTAAGCTTTGTTTCCAGTGTCGTGAGCACGACTGAGTGTTTCCTACACACAACATCTGTGCTTGGGTTCAGCCCAGCCTCAGCAAAAATACTTGAGGGAACAAGGGAGCTCAGATCCTGGGGGCCAAGTGCAAATGCCAGCAGCAAGCTCGAGGTGGGTATGATGGACCAGCTCCCACTCTTTGAATAAAAACTCGGGTTTTTTAACATTTTAAGGGGATGCGGGTGTGATAACACTGTAAGAAAACACAATTGCACGTGCTGTTAATCAGCCCAGCCTCAGCAAAAATACTTGAGGGAACAAGGGAGCTCAGATCCTGGGGGCCAAGTGCAAATGCCAGCAGCAAGCTCGAGGTGGGTATGATGGACCAGCTCCCACTCTTTGAATAAAAACTCGGGTTTTTTAACATTTTAAGGGGATGCGGGTGTGATAACACTGTAAGAAAACACAATTGCACGTGCTGTTAATAGGACCTAAACTACACAAAAGTGCAAGAACAACACAGCCATCGAGGCACCATTAACAGAACAGGAACCCTGCTACCCATGTACTGGGTTTTTGTGCCAGAGCACAGGGTTTGCCACGGGAAAGGTCTGGTTACCAGCCCCATTGGCCGAAGCCCTCCCCCTTTCCATGGGTTGCCATGGGGCAGTGCAGGCTGAGGCACCGGGAAATGGGAGCCTGGGTCTCTATTTTAAAATTACAATGGAAAGTTGAAGACAGAAGGCAGGCAATTAAATTATCAAAGAACCTGAAGGATATGTATTGTATGTATTACATAATTAAAATAAAAACAGATTGCTGGCTTTTAATTTTGGTATGATCCAGAGAATAGCTGGGCAGGGAGCAAAGTGAACCCGGCCAGTGTTGCAGAGCTACTGGCAGGAAACAGTGGGAAGGGCTGATTTCTGTAGAGGGGAAAGGAGCAATGTACCAGCAATAGGAAATGCCAGGGATAAACCTCTGGATGTGGGAAGCGGTTAATACTGCTGCTTAGCTCTGGTGTGGCTCTTTCCACCAGCGTACTTCAAAGTGCCTTATACTGGAGCACAAGGCTAAATGTGGACATGGTGCAATGCAGAGCTGTGTGCTGAATGCCTCGCTGGTGTCCCGACACTGCCCAGCCCCTCCTGTTTGCAGTGCTGGCAGGGATCATTACATCCCCCCTTCCCTCTCAGCAGGGCTCGTTATCCTTGTCTCTCTGTGCTTGCACCCTGTAGACAAACCCTAAATGTCACCATCTCCATTTTGTGCATAGGGACACTCCAGGAGATGAAGTGACCTCCCGCAAGGGTATGGAGTCACAGAGCGACCCTGGATCTCCCAAGTGCCACAACTAATGAGCATCTGCACTTGAAAGAACTGCCCTGCGCTGTTAGGATCGCCATCCTCCAGCAGCTCCTCCGGAAAGCGAGGGGCAATCGCAGAGCCCAGCACGCACCCCTGCGGCTCACACGTCCCTTAGTCCCATCAGCCTGTGGTTAAATGCTGGAGAGGATAATAACAGATTGCTGCAGTGCACCGGGCTAGGAAATTGTTTGCCCACATCGTATGAGTGGCCAAGCTCCAAGCTGGGGGGACAAGGAGTCTCCAAAGCCTCAGTCTGCTCCTTGCTGCTCCCATGGTGAGATATGGCCCAGGAGAGCCTCCTGCATCAAACAAATTATGACAGCTGGGGATAGGAGAAGAGCAAAGACTGGTACCACTGCAGCAGCACGCTGTGTGCTAGACTGTCTGGGGCCAGGATACAACAAGGGATGCCCCTTCCATGTCTGCTTTTCCAGCCTCCAGCAGCTGCCCGCAGCAGCCTGCCAGCGCCCGTGCCTGCGTTCCAGCTGCTCCAGGCCCGGGAGAGGTGTAGTCCTGTGCCCAGCATCCGGGACAGGTTGGGTAGCCAGCAGTTTCCTTAACTTTAAAGTCATTGGCCTGATGAGAACAGCTTTTGGGTGTGATCACAGGAGGTTCTAAGCACATTTGAAAGCTCCAGCAAGCTCCTGCATTAGCCCCTGTCCCTTTCTCTAGCTTCTTTGCAGTGCCAGGACCGTCAGGAAAAGGTACTCAAAAGCAAGCAAGTCTTACTGAAAAGCCCCATTTTTCAAGAACGGCTTAGAGGCCAAGCTGTTACGTCAGATGAGCGTTTTGGAAAGCTTCAGGCTATCCTGCTTTCCACAGCATGAAACACTACGCTTCTAAATAATGCTATTTTCAAGAAACAAAGCGGCAATGATTCCACCTGACAGTCTTTTCAGCACTTCTGTGAGAAAGGGAAACTGAGCCAAGAAAGCATCGGAGAAGTCAAGTGATGCACCATTGCAATTCTCCAGGAATAAAGCAACACTAAGGGTCTGGCTTCTTGTAAAATATGCATTTCTGCCACACTAGTATTCCTTCCAAATCATTTTTTACTAAGTGTCCCACACATGCCCTTTGCTCCAGCAACAGGATATCCTTCATTTGTCTGCACAGAGTGCAGATGAGCACTTCTTCGTGTTGTTTTCCAAGTCGGCTGATGGGAGGGTCAGCAGGGGCTGAAGCAGCTGCACCAAGTAAAGGAAAGGTAACCATGGCAACCCAAGTTATCTGCATCCTCCATATATTTCCTTCTCCCCACCCTACATCGTATCTTTCCCACCCAAACCTCAAGCCAATAGAGCCAGTGACCAGCTGGCAGGATGGGGACAGCGGCAGGGTCTCCTGCACCCAGTGTGTCTTGCTGTGTTTTGGGGCTCACCACTGCAGGCTGAGGTCATCAAAAAGAGACTGAAAGCACAGAGAGGGGTAACTTGCCAAAGGCAGAGCTCTCCACTACTGTAGATGGGGCGCTGGATACGTTGCCTTTGCTCCAGAGTTGCAGATTCGTTGATGCTGCTCCTGGTTTTGGCTCTGAGCTGTAACCCTTCCACAGCAGCAACAGCTTCTCCGTCTGCGCCCCACATCAAACCCAGCTACAGTTTTGGCCGGACTTTCCTGGGACTTGATAAATGCAACGCCTGCATTGGAACATCCATTTGCAAGAAATTCTTTAAAGAAGAAATAAGGTCAGAAACTCAGCACCGTAATTTTTAAAGCATTCTGCATAGTAACTTGAAAGTTGCCTGTTAGTATTTCCAAGTACTTTAATGAATGACAATGCAAAGAGTAACTTAGCATCCGGTTGCCATTACAGTGTCTAGTATTTTAATTAATCTCTATAAGCTGCTGCTCTGTCTCTTTTCTTTTAAAGCCACACAAACATGATCAGACTTCAGCTATAAATTATAATTTGAAAGCAAGAGGAAAAGGCACAACTTTCTGCACAGAGAGTGTCTCTGAAACAATTCAAGGCAGTGATGGGAGAAGGGAAGAGGGAAGGCAGAGATCAGCTTGTTTAGATGTACTGGAAATACTTTATTACGAGCAACTGAGTAAAGGCAAAGGGGGTTTAGCTTTGCACGCTCCCAACGGACTGTGTTAACTACAAACATATAAACGTGCCATACAATTTTGTACCAGGTGCAACAACACAAATGTGCAGAATTTCACGTGCCTATTAACTGAGATCAAAAGCGAACTAAACCTGCCTGAGGCATCAGGACTTTTGCACATCAGGTTAGCTATGTGCTCAAAAGTAGACACAGATAAATTATTAGTATGCTTTTGGGAGGTTTCTCTGGGAACTTGAGGGCAGAAGCAAAAATTGTGTCTGCCTCGAAGTTGATGAGACCTGTGTTGTCCAAGCAGTCGTCTGACTGATCCAGTCAGTTCTAGGCTCAAAAGCAGAGTGTATCTGACGACAGCATGGAAAATGTTGCCAGTGTATTTGAGGAGAAAGTTAAAGGCAGTGCTTGGCAGAGGAAGGGTTTATTGGGTCTGATATGATTTATAGAGCCATATGCACTTTCTTTTATAGATATAAAAGCCTGAGGGAGAAGAAATTATTATAGTAAAATTGTATTTTTAATGCTATAATGTAAGTAGTATAATATTGGACAAATCACCATTTTTATCTTAAACTATCCTATAAAATGTAGCATAGTAAAACCATAATGGTTTGTCTGGGATGGACTTGCAATACCGAACATCCATCCTTCCCTTGCTGATGCTGGAAAAAGGCAGCTTGTGGCTTTGCTACGCCAGGACACCCCTTGCCATGGCACACCAGGGGTGCCAGCCCTTGGCGCTTTGCCCTCTTGGCTTTTTGTCTCTCCAGGCCCGTGCCGAGGGTGACGCCGGGGCGTGCAGTAAGTAAGGTGCAGAGGCACTAAGAAGTGCCTGGACAGCAGTGCTGGGTTTCTCTCAGCCCAGCCCTGGTTCTTGTCACAAAAAGTAGGATGGATTTGCAATCAGCAGCTTCAGCTGGCTGAGGCATGCTGGTGTGGGTCTGCAGGGGCTGGGGGTGCATTCAGGCTATGGGCTGCCCTAAATTTTATTCTGTGCAGTAGGGAGAATAAAAGGGGCTCCTGCCCCACGCCCCATCCTCCTGTGGCCCCTTTGCCACTCACCTCTGTGGAGTTCTTAGGGATGTGCCACTGGGTACAAAGCAGCTTCCACACGTGCAGCTGGTCGCAGGTGCACTATTTCGGTTACTCCTGCTTAGCTGCTGGGGAGGTTGGGGCTGCGCAGCTTCCTTCAGCCCCGCTGAAAATAGCAGTAGCCTTCTGCGGTGAGCAACTGCCTCTGGCTGTACAGTGGCCAGCTGCCTGTTGCACCGGGGCACAGGAAAGAGGTGCTACGTGAGCAGAAGCAGGAGGCCCCCACACTGGCTTTCCTCCGGGGGAGAGCGGGAAAGGGGTGCGGGTGGGCAGAGGGTCCAATCATGGTCCGGGAGTGCAGAGACACAAACATGTGGGAGCAGGATGCTTCTGCCTCGGGGAAGGTAGAGGGGCTTCCTAAACCAGAGACTTTTTTTTTCTCCCCTGTGAAACTGCAGCCAGCTTCCCACAAGCAGTGCAGCACAATAAGTCATAACATACAGTTCTGCTCAGAGCGCTTTGGAAAGGGTAACTTTAAAAAATGTTCTCCTAAGCAGTCAGTCAGCTTCAGGCTTTTCTTTGCAGGGGTTAGACTCGTTCTCCCACTTGATTTCTTGAACAGCCGGGATTTTTTGGCAAGTAAAGGTTAAACGGGAAATTTCAGTGGCACTTGTGCTCTTTGATCCACCCCTGTGCACCTTTGCACACGTTCACAAAGGTGGATGGCACTTGGCACTTCTCTGTGTTAATGCTCATTAGAACATGCTTCATTAATTCTCCATCATTTCTGGTAGCTGTGACATGCGTTCACACTCCACTAGGAAGAAGATGTGAGTTTTACTCACAGAACATCTCATGATTCATCTTCTGCTCTAATGTTCTTTACTTCCCTTATCTTTGCCCAACTTTATCCATCTGTAAATGAGAATACCAAAGCCTGCCTACTAACTGTCCAGACAGCAAAGCACAGCAAAAGTTTTCGTAAAATATTATATTTTCAAAACACTGTGAAACTGAGCTGACCAAAACTCTTTGCAGACTTGTGCCAACGCTGGTGATGAGCTTTGCCCAAAAGTAATGGGAAAGAAGCCTGAAAAAGCTGGAATGCTTCAATTTGATGGGGTCTTATATGTCATTTCTTTATTTTTGGTTTTAAGACTTAACTTAATTATTTTTTTTAAAAAAATTTAAAACTCTAAATGCAAGCAAAATTATTTTGGCTGAAACAAAATACTTAATTTCATCCAGGAGAAAAGAAAAACAAGTTTGGTTTTCTTCAACATTTAGTAGTGGGTTGATCTAAAATCTGTAATCTGTGACTCAGTTATTCACACAGATATTACTGCAAGTCTTAATTAAAGCACATTCAGGCCCTTAGCTAAAAGGCTTCATACAAGAGTGAATTACTGTTACAGCACAACTTGATGATGAATCTTGAAAATATCTAGCAAGCGTGCCAGGCCAGTACTGCGCTGCCCAGAAATGATGCCAAATACAGAATTGCTGTGGTCCATGCCAGGTTCCCAGGCCCGTATGGCTCTCCCCTGGGAGCTCTGCAGAGGAAATGGCTCCATCCGCACTCAAATTAACGCTCCGCCCTGGATTTCACACATCCACGCGCTGCTTGCACACAGGAGGCGGCTCTTTCCTGGTATCTGCCTGACGTGAGCTCCCCTGAACGCATGTGCTTGAGCCAAATCACAAGGTACATTTGTGCTTAACTTAAAAAAAAAAAGAAAGAAAGAAAGAAAGAAAGAGAAACCCAGCCCAAAGCCATCTCTTCCCTGTACGTGCCTGGCACACTGCACCTGCTTTGCAGATTAGGCACTGGGAGGGGTCGTGGTGCACAACAAATCGCGGTGAGGCGTAGCAATTACTCTCCGCTCTTTAGTCCTAGCTCAAAATCATACCAAAAATAAAGAACCCAAAACAAACAAGGCATTTATTTTTATGTCAGATGCCCTAATCGTAGGGAAGCTTCAATTTCATATTGGGCAAAACGCCCAAATGACTGAACTGCCTGAACCCCCAAACCTGCTTACACAGCAAATTTTCTGAAGAAGGCGCATGGCTAGAGCCAAAAACCAAAACGTGGCAAGCACCAGCATTTTGGGGAGACTGGCTTTCCCCTGCTCCGGGCACCCCTTCTTGCCCCAGGGCTGAGATGTGCAGGGTCTGTGGGGAGGAAGGGGAGCAAGGCACTGCCTTCAAGAGGGGTTGTGAGGAGGAGGCCAGTTGGTCTCTGATCCCGGAGGGTGGCTAGCATCACCAAGTCAGTTATTTGCCTGAAATCAGGGGAAATTAATCCCCTTAAAATTTTTCTGTGCCAATTTCCCAGCTGGAAGTTGAAAGATCAGCTTCAGCTTTCAGATTTGTTAATGTCTTTTCACTCAACTTCAGCTAGCTGATACTGCAGAGAACCTCTTGTTTCTTGCCTCTCCTGTTTCACTTCTGAACTATCATCAGCTTTAATTTATGATGAGATTAAATTAGAATGTGCTTTCTTACGCACTCAGGCAAGGAGGCTAGGGCAGGAGGTTTTAGATGCAGTGAATGCATCACGTTGGCCAAACGAAAGGTCAGAGTTCAACTGCTTTCCAAGAGCAGGTAAGAGACATACTTAGAAGAGAGGCACTGTGCTCCTCAGCTCCTGGGTGTGCAACACGTGTGTGGGCAGGGCTGAGGGGGCTGCTGAAACAAAAAAAAATTGTCACAGCCTAATTACCCAGCCCATATGCTCCCTTCCTGTGCCTGTGTAGGGGAGAAAATTAGTGCAAGATCTCCATGGCTACGGTGGTGCCACATGCCCAGGGCACATGCCCCCCCGAATCCCCAATCACACCCCAATCTATGCTGCTCCTGAGGAGGTCACTCATCCCGGCTGCTAAGATACAGCCAGTGACATGGGGGGAACCTGTCTACCTAGTACTGAGTAAAGCCACCACCTCAGAACAAAAGGTCATTTTGATATTCCCAAACAGAGTCATAGAATCATAGAGTAATTTTGGTTGGAAAAGACCTTTAAGATCATTGAGTCCAACCAAACACCTAACACTGCCAAGTCCACCTCTAAACCACGTCCCTAAGCACCTCATCTACACATCTTTTAAATACCTCCAGGGATGGTGACTCCACCACTTCCCTGGGCAGCCTGTTTAAATGCCTGAGAACCCTTTCAGTGAAGAAATTTTTCCTAATATCCAATCTAAACCTCCTCTGGCACAACTTGAGGCCATTTCCTCTTGTCCTGTTGCTTGTTACTTGGATAAAAATGCATTTATTGTCAGGACACTTGGTTTTGCAGGGTCCCTTAAAGTATCAAGTACTCTTTTTTTAGGACCCTTTCTCTGGGATTAAGAAAATTTAAAAACTCCAGGGATTCCTCATGCACTGAGACCCTGCAGCCCTCTCCCTTCCCTCTCTCTCTCTACATGGCCCAAAAGACCCCGTCTGGGCATTTTGTCCCCTGCCACATGGCACTGTTCATGACAAGGGATGGTTTAAGCAGGAAGCAAAGATGGATGTTCTTTCTAAAGCGTGTTTCCTCAGCCGATGGCTTTGGCCCACTTGCCTCACCCCGGTGCCCAGAGCTGCCCGCCCTGGGGCCACTTGGCCTTTGCTGTGTGATGGCAGAAATCCCCTGGGGCCGGCGTGTGGCAGAGCCACCGCGGTGGGGCTGGCGCTGTGCGGGTGTCCGTGTGGCTTGTTAACCCGCTCTCCGTGGGGCTCTCGTTTTGGTTTGGCAGGTTTGACACCTGGCTTTCTTCTCATTTAAAGCTGCCCCCCAGCTACCTGCTCAGCTACTCGGGCAACTACACGGATGATGCCAAGAGCTGGCGGCTGGTCGACATCACCCGGCTGACCTCCAAGTACCAGCACGACCGGGCCGACAAGCGCATCTGCACCTCCCTGCTGAAGACAAAGACTTGCAGCCTGGAGCGCGCCCTGCGCCGTACCCATCGCTTCCAGAAGTGGCTGCGGGCCAAGCGCCTCACCCCCGACCTGGTCCAGGTCCGTGCCCCACAGCCCCTGTGCCCACACCAACGGGGGGAGTGGGGAGAGGAGCCCCAGGGCAGTACAGCCTGGTTTTGGGGGAGGGGAGGGAGGAAAGGGTCTGAAGGAGATATGGCCATGACTTGTCAGGTGGAGGGTGAGTTTGGGCAATCGCTGCTGCTCTCCCTCCTGCCCCAGCTGGTGGAGTGGGTCAGCGCCATGTCCCCCAGCTGAGCTCACCCGCCACAGGGGAGAAGCAAAATGAGGCCCGACGGGAAGAAAAGCTCCACAGCCCAGGGCCAACCCCCTCCCCAGCCATAGGTAACACTGTGGCACTGCCTGGTCAGGCCTGGGGCTTGGCCCCGGGGAGGAGGGCACCAGCTCCCGGCTCCTCGGCAGGCTGGGGCTGAAGACCTGTGGAAAGCCATAGTGCCCACTGGCTTCAGGAGCAGAGATAACATCGGGCCGTGCACTCAAACACAGCGACTGCTCAAGTTGGAGTAGTTCTGCTGGGTTTTTGTTGTTTTAGTTTTCCATCATAGCTCAGCATGGTTTGTTTGAGATTTTTTGTTGGGGTTTTTTGGGGTTGTTTTTTTTTTTTTTTTTCACAAAGTTGTCCAAAAGGGCAGCCTGTGCCTTGAAAGTGATTTTGCTCCAAGCCAGGGACTGGGGCAGCTTGGACTCCTCTGCCCACGGCCATCAGTGCGAGCGGCACGGGTGAGCGGAGCCAGAGCCTTGATTCTTTATCTACCTGCCATCTATAGCAAATGACCTCAGTCACAGAGGAGTCTGCTGCCCTTTCTGTCGCAGTCCTGGGGTGTCACAGGTGAAGCCAGGACAGACACGCCAGATGGGGGGTGTCACTGCCACTGGGCAGATGGGCAGCCGTGGTGCAGGGAGAGGGACACACAGGCAGGGCCAGAGGGACAGAGCAGGCAAGCTGCAGAGAGCCAGCATCTGAGTACTGCCTGCACAGAGGGATGCCAGGGGCAGCCAGGGATGGCCACCGGACACACCACTGCGTTTTGCAGCAGCTGGCTTGCATCTGAGAGCAAAAGTCCCCTTCCTAAATGCACACACATCCTCCCAGCCCATCCAACAACAGCAAAGCATTGTGATATCCTCTGGCTAGGGGCAGGGGCCAGCATGGAGGCTGGCTAGACTCTAAACAAGACCCCGAGAAGCAAAAAAGGATTATTCCTTCTCCTCCCCTTCCAAGAGAGAAGTGCCTGTGAAAAAGGGACTTCTTTTTCCCTATAAAGGCAACTGGTTCCTCCTGCCTGCACGCTGCCACATCCACTCAGCTTTGCTGAGTGCTAAAGATATGCTGCTTTAGTTTTTCTGCTTCTGTTACCCCATGAAGCTGCATGCCTGAGGAGGGAGAGCGGGAGACCCCATGCTGCTGCAGCAGCAGCAGGAACAGTGCTGGGGCTGGTGCCTGAGCTGCTCCCAGACAGAGTCACCGGAGTCACAACAGCCTCACATGGCAAGTCACCCTGAAGCCAGCACCCTCCCTTCTGGGGAGTGAGGTGCAGGATGACATACCAGGCAGGGAAAAATTATTTGGAGCAAAACTACCCTATACTTTGTCTAGTAACCTCTGGAGAGGGGCTAGGGAGAGGGGACAGGTATGTGTCTCTTCCACACAGAGCATCCCTCACCTGAGCTTGTGGCCTGTGGGCAGGCACATCTCCCAGGGTGGCAGGCAGCAGCTTCCCAGGACCATCCCCACTGGCCATCGCTGTCCCCCAAGGCAGCACTGCAGGGGGCTGCAGGAGAGCAAGGCAGGGTGCCAGGTCCTCCGGCATTGCCCAAGTGTCCAAGGGGTTTGTGCAAAACTGTGCTGCCCCCACAGTACTGCTGTGTGAAACAGGAGGAGTTGAGAGCTTAAAACTTCCATTTGCTGGATGAAAAAGTAACTGGAGAAATGTAGCTCTGTGGTATCTCAGATCTGCTGCAAAGTTAAATCATTAGCTGAGCCCAAATCCTTCTCCTTAAAAGGCTCTTGATGTGCTGGAGGG